TGAGAGAACCAAAAATTGCAAAAATATGAAGTTGTCATGGACTGGTCACATCCTCTTTTATAATCTCTTATGAAGCTATCTCCTAATATAATAAGGAGATAATCCAGATCTGAATCAGATCTGGACTCTAATTAGAGATATACATTATCTTCTTATAAGATTAGGTGCTCCATGCCCAGATCCAAACCCATGTGGACTTATGTGCCAGCTTAATTAATCATATTAATTATGGGCCTTAGACCCATCAACTATAAGGCTCACGACCCAAGGGTGTTGCATGGACAACTTAGGCTTGATATTTATGGTGTGGGACCCCACAATGACCTCACATAAGTCCACATGGGTTCGGCCCAGCCTCTATAAAAAGGTTTGGTCGAATTCACTACTAAATGTAGTGAACCCCTAAGCACATCACTATGGGCCCAACATTTTCACTTAAATGATTCTTGAATTCAGCCATCCTATGAAGACGCAAGGATAATGGACTTAAGTAAGATAAAGCCCATCAGGTAATCAGCCCTTAATGGTTTCTTACACTTAACCTCTCAGCCCATAATGATTAAACACTAACCGACAAGGAAGGACCTCTCCCCTGGCTGCAAGGTGCAGTGTCACACTTTCCACTCGAATGGATCCTGGGAATTAAAACCTTTTTCAAACAATTTTCATAAAACATTAATATATATCATATAAATATATTTTGCAAAACCAAATCTCAAACAAAGTTGAAATCCATTACCAATAGTTTAGGGTTCCATCAGAGAGAGTGTAAGCCCTATCATTCACTTTATCCGACAAAGGGGCCTATCCTATCACTATGATCACCCACTCAGATAAATACTCAAACTGCCCCAACATACCCAAGTTTTGACCATTGATGGGTCTCACTAATTGGCATATCAAAGACAGCCCAATCCAACACCTAGTGCAATACCATAATCAAGTCTAAGGGTTATGTCTAACTTTCCAATTTTGCTCATCAATCTCCAAGGTCCAGTCTAGGGCATAATTGGAAAATGATTTGGGTTTAGTGTTTCATCCAAACACACACTACATGTGCTTCGGGTCCAACCCTAACAACTAAGACAAGCTGCCCCAACTTCTTTGGCAGTACATCAGTGTTAGCCTTGGCAGGATAAATTTTCCAAGTCTATCCAATGGCTAAGAACATTCTAAACTAATACGAGTCTCATAAGTGTTCGGTTTAAGGGGTTACACAGAAACATACCAATGTCAACATGAAACAATAATGTACTTTCATTCATTTACAATAAATGTATCTATACATCAATCTGATTGGAGCTAAGGGCATACACTATCTAACATGGGTTACAAAGTGGGCCGACCTTTCTATTAAGGTTGTGTGCTACTGGGCCCATCTCTTTCGAACTCACTTGGTTTTGAATTCTATCCACCACAACCTCATCCAACCTATCAACAAATGCTACATCAGCCTCCCTAAAATTTAGGAATTTTGAATTTCGAAATTGCCTTGCCTTTGAGCCCTTTCCCACCTCACCCCCAGTTCTATCTTGGTTGTAGGATTTTTTTGGAAACCTACAGTTGGGATTTTATCTTCTTCTTTTCCTATTCTCCACATTCTTCCAACTTTCTTCCTCCTAATCTTTGACAGGTTGTGGACTCACAGGGTGGTCGTCAGAGTGAGCTACGGGGAAGATCACCGACCCTCCTCGGTAGTGTCCATCGTTGACCGAAACTCTCATTCAACCAGTACACTAGCTAACACTTGAGAGATGAAATCCTTGCCAATTGGAATAGAATCTTTATAATTCCTCGGAACCACCAATCTTTCTGATTTGATCTTCAACCAAATCATGACTATGTACATCACTTCGCCTACCACTATGTTAGCTAATTAAGGGGGTAAACCCACCCAGCGAACCTTCAACCGCATACATTCAAAGGACTTCGTATACTTCTTTGAGTCGTCTACTTCCACAAAACCACCACAGAGGTCATCAATCATCCTACCAATTTCGTTTCTCCACAAATGTAAAGGAAGTCCAAATACTTTAACCCAAAAATGCTTTGGAACCTCTTCTTTCTTCCACTAAACTCCCACCGATTCCGACCAAGGTTCAAGATGCAACAAGGCTCCTTTGAAACATCTCGAACTCGTATTTAGAACTCTCCGAGCTTCTACCTTTGAGGGTAGGAAAAACACCCAGCTGTCACTGTCAAGACGCCTCACATCGATCCCCTGCGAGCAGTTCCAGACTCTTGAAGACCACTTCAGTATATCCTCTAGCTCGAATCCTTTCCAATCAAAACTTCCTACCAAGCAAGATTGTAGGAAGACTGATATCTYCGTTGTGCTTTCACTATCCAGATCCAAAAAGAAGGATCTGGAGTTTGCTTTAACAAAGACCTTCCCATGAGCCAGCCATTGCAGAAAGTGCGAACTTCTCGCATCTTGTCTACCCCTCTCCCCTCGGTTATTTTGGTAGCCACCCTTAAATGGGCGGTGGCCCCTCTTAAACCGATTACCCTCAAACATCGACGGTTACCTCCCAGCGATTCCCCTCAAGTTTTCATGGCAAGAACACCATGCAAACAAGATGATCATCTTGTTTGTAGATACAATTCTACAAAAGCAAATTCTATTATGGATACAATTCTACAAAAGCAAGAACACCTATCTTAACTTTTATGACACCCAGTAGTTGAGTGGATATTGTGAGCATAAGGCACATCCTATATAAATCGCAACTGATATTGCTGAAAGTCTAGACCTTTGCTAGGCCATTTTGTTCCATGGAAATGTAAAAGCAAGTTGGTACTTTTACATTTTAGTTCAATGCAGAACTTTAACAAGCAAAGTACATGAACAGGAGCACAAATACAAGCTGGTCTCCTCCATCAGAAGGCTCACTAATGTTGAACTTTGATGGAAGTAGCATGGGTAATCCAGGATTATCTGGAATGGGGGGTGTTCTGAGAAATGAGAATGGAGAGATTGTCTTGCTTTACTCGGGTCCTTTAGGATTTGGAGACTATCAGGGCAAAGCTATTAGCTGTTGTACAAGGGGTGCAATTTACAAACCAGCTGAGGGTACAACATCTGATAATTGAAGGGGATTCCAAGGTGGTAGTGGGCTAGTTGAAAAATCCTGAAGATTCTATATGGTGCTACAAGAACGAAATGAAGAAATTTAGTTGGTTGACAAGGAATATGTCAGTCTCTTTACAATGGGTGGGGAGATCAACAAATACTTTGTCCGATGTGTTAGCCAAGCAAAGAGGTAAATAGTGAAGAATTGTTTTGGGCTCAACTGTGATTCCTGTATTTTTTTCTAGTTTACTTGTAAGCTTCTAGGAGGGGCTGCAGCTCGCACCTCTCCCTGGGATGTTGTATGAAATCACAACTCTAAATCAAGTTTTGAATTAATAAAATTTTACTATTACTCCTCAAGAAAATACAACACTGACACAGACCATGGTGCCTATATTGGTTATGGATACAAGTGGAATAATGTTGAGTTTTGGCCATTCCACCCATGCTACGTATCTGTAACACTAAAAACCAATATGTTTCGTTTGATATGGACCGATATATATTGATATTTTAAACCATGCTTGCAAATCCATCCAGCATTAGTATAAATATAAAGTGATATGATTGTTAATCTAGCTTGTGATCTCTCAAACCTCTATCACTCAGTACTCAAACCAATCAAAATAAACTAACATTTTTATCTTGTAAAAATATGTTTTTATGGTAAATTTAAAAAATCTTAGTGAAAAGAGTTAAATAAAAGGAGTTTTGAGATAACAAGCCAAAAACTACAAGCTTTCACCAATAAAAACAATACCAGCAACAACAGCCAAGCATCTTCAAGTATAGCACCAAGGCTAGACCAAAAGCCATAGCAAAGTGAGAATATATCAATGTCTTCAAAGTTGGGAAGAACCAATAACCATAGAAAATAAGACATTGAAAAGTCATATGTGCTTCCTAAAAAGTAACAAAATTAGGAAGATCAAGAATTTTGATATATTAAAATATGCATAACATAAGATTAAGTAACAATTACTGATTGTTTCTCCCTCATTGTTGTCAAGCTGTCTAAGCAATTCAGGGTGACAGTAGGGTGCCTAGGTGATAAGAATTTTATCAGTTAAAGAATGAAACTTTGGCTAGGTCCCTAGTTTTATATACCATTCAGCATGCATATTGATTGAAAGAATAGCAATTCTCTTTATTAAGAATATTAAATTTCCTCTTAAAACAGGGCAAATCATCATATCTAAAAGATAAAAGTATTTAAATATATTAATTTCAAGAATACTACTAATATAACAAGTATTTAATAGAGCAATTTCATATCAATTAGCAACTAAAAAGGTTATGGCTTTATATGATAAAAGTTCAAGATAGAACGTAAAAGAGAAAAAAGAACAAGGGTGGACCTACTGTTTTATTTAATGTATGAAAGAGAGAATAGAAAAAAAAAACAAAAAAAAAAAGAGAAAGTTCTTCATACTACTATTCTTTCGTTCTTTTTCTCTTCTGAAAACACTTTGACCATTTAAATTTCAACAGTAAAACTTCAAAACAAAGTAATATATATATAGTATATAATAGAATGTACTAGTAAATATATTAGTAAGATGTAGCACTATGAATGATATTGTAATAAGGTGCCTGCCTTGTCATGTTTGTCACCTAGGTACGCGCCTTGTTGCTATAAGTCAAGGTGTTTAGGCAAGATGCCCAGCCATGGGCACCTAGGCAACGCCTTGATAACTATGTTCTCTCTTTCCTTCTTGTATCTTGGTATGCCAACCACTAGGATGGGGAGACTTGTCTTGCGCATAAGTAGAAAAGAATTTTGTGCATCCAACTATGCCATCTCTTGTGTCATTTTCATATGCTAAATTAAACTCCCTTCAAACTATGATACAAACTCGCAATGGTAAATCAAAGAACAAGTTTGATACGTGGAAAGCACTTATCATAAGTGGCAGGCAGAAATTACCAGTGGCAAACAATACAACATCTGCCATCAACTCTCCCCCATGATCTGTGAGAACTTTTATGCCATCCTCTGTTTTAATCAACTAAATCATGGAAAGCAAAATTAGTTGTAGCAGTAGTAGTAGGTTGAAATGAAAAATAAAATAGTTATGGACAAGATAATGCACAAAAACCACAATAAAAAAGAAATTTATATGATCATTAAGGGACTGTAATGCACAAGGGTGAGAATAGACCAACTAAGTTACGAATACCTCAGATATGTTTGTTCCCGGGTGCAATCTGATTCCCCTGCCTTCAAGATTTTTTGCCACCACAGCCCTCATTTCATCATCAAAACCTCTGTAATATATGACACTATGTCATAAGCAACACTAATGCATTGTAGACAAAAAATAGAAGTTGACAGAATAATACCCAAAGCTCAAGTATGCTTCGCTCTGACAAAGATTAACAGAAAGATGAATTCAAATATCAAGGAATTGATTAATTATTTTCTTAATATAGTATAACTTCATGCTTAGTTAAAACTGAAAAGTACCATTCACAGATAAATGCAATCCCACCCCAATCTGAAAAGGACCCTGCAGGTTACTTCTCATTTAAGTGAACAATGCAGGAAAAGAAAAAAAAAAAAAAAAACTAAGATAATTAAGAAATGCAGTTAGCATCAGTTAGTTGACCAACTAGTCAGTTGAGGGTCAGATCGACCATCACTAACTAGTCAGTCAATACTCATAATGTTGTAACCTGGGATGATTAAGCATCAACCAGGCAGACTAGTTGACTAATACATCAACTACAAAGCTATCCMAAGGTTTTATTTATTTATGTCTTTCTCTAAGTACTTAAAATAATATAGTATATGGTTTCTCTTTTGTTCTTGTTGTACAGAAAGAAGAGAGAAAGGGAGAGAGGAGAAGAGAGACAAAGGACTGAGAGTCCCAAGAGATACTGCAGGCGGCGCAGTATGTTATATTTATACTAAGGCGACAACAACTAAACATAAAGAAAAAGAAAAGTACAATAGTACCCCTGCGGTACTATACATATATAAAATAACATCTGTTAACACTCCCCCTCAAGTTGGAGAATAGATATCAATCATGCCCAACTTGTCACATAGATCATGATGTCTTGAGTGGTGTAGTCCTTTTGTAAAGATGTCTGCAAGTTGGTCCTCAGAGTTGACATAGGGAGTACACACTTTGCCTGTGATGACTTTCTCTCTGATAAAATGCTTGTCGACTTCGATGTGTTTTGTTCTATCATATAGCATTGGGTTAGCAGCAATGTTTATGGCTGCTTTGTTATCACAGAATAGGGTCATAGGCCTGTCCACTGGAAAACCCAACTCACTCAACAGATTCTTTATCCACGTACTTTCAGCCACTCCATGAGCCATTGCTCGATATTCAGCTTCATCACTGGATCTAGCCACCACACTTTGCTTTTTACTTCTCCAGGTAACTAGGTTTCCTCCTATGAAGGTGCAGTAGCCACTAGTAGACTTTCTGTCGTTTTGAGATCCAGCCCAATCTGCATCAGTATACACTTCAACTTTCAAATGCCCGTGTCTTTGAAACAACAAGCCAGCACCTAGAAACCTTTTAAGATATCGGAGGATTCTTTCTGCTGCTTCAAGATGAGTGGACATAGGTGCATGCATAAACTGGCCAAGGACACCAACAGCATAAGCAATGTTTGGGCGGGTCATAGAAAGATATAACAATCTCCCTACAAGTCTCTGAAACTGTTTCACATCCTTGATAGGTTCACCTTGGCTGTCACCTAATTTATGGTTCGGATCAATGGGAGAGTCAATTGGCTTCACTCCCATTTTTCCAGTATCCTGGAGTAAATCTAGGACATACTTCCTTTGAGAAATGAAGATACCCCTTTTTGAGCGGGCAACTTCAATTCCAATGAAGTATCTTAGAGGCCCTAAATCCTTTACTTCAAACTGTGTGGCAAGAAAACCCTTCAACCTCTGGATTTCATCCTTCCAGTCACCAGTGACAATTATATCATCAACATACACTATCAAAGCAGTAATTTTACCTTCTCCTCTTTTCACAAACAGTGTGTGATCAGATTGACATTGCTTGCATCCTTTCTGCTGAACCGCAATATGAAATCCGTTGAACCAGGCTCTTGGTGATTGTTTTAGCCTGTATAAAGACTTCTTCAACTTGCACACCTTCTGTTCATTACCTTGAGCTTGAAAACCAAGGGGGTTGTATCATGTAAACTTCCTCTTCAAGGTCACCATTCAATAATACATTCTTGATATCAAGCTGATGTAGATCCCAGTCAAGGTTAGCAGCAAGAGAGAATAGAACTCTAATGGAGTTCATCATGGCAATAGGAGCAAAGGTCTCTGCATAATCAACTCCGTACACTTGAGTAAACTCCTTTGCCACTAAACAAGCTTTATACCTCTCCACCGTGCCATCAGCCCTATGTTTGACTGTGAACACCCATTTACATCCAACTAGATCATTTCCCTTAGGAAGATCTACAAGTTCCCATGTGTCATTTTTATGAAGGGCATTAATTTCTTCCTTCATAGCATCTATCCATTCAGGTATTGAAAGAGCTTCTGCCACATTCTTAGGGATAGGGGCACTGTCAATGGAAGTAAGTAATGCACAAAAAGAGGGAGAAATGTTCTCATAGGAAACAAAGTGGAAAATAGGGTGTTTAGTGGTGCACGATCTAACACCTTTCCTATGAGCAATAGGAAGGTCAAGGTCATTAGCAATAGAGGTATCAATTGTAATGGGGTCAGGGACATCATTGAGAACCAAGGTACCTGAGTGAGTATGATCCGCCCCCAAGGAGTTTGATGGCACTAGAGGTACAACTTCTAGATCCTCCACAGCTCTTGAATTTGGTTGGGGCCTTTGCGACAACGGAAGAAGACACAAAAAGGCGGAGGATCAGGAAGAGGAGGGAGTTGAACCAGCTTCTCCTCATTCCTACACTCCTCCTGAGGAGAAACAGGGAAAAAAGGCTCATTCTCAAAGAAAGAGACATCCATGAAAACATAGAATTTCTGAGAAACAGGATCAAAACAATGGTATCCCTTCTAAGTGAAGGAGTACCCCAAGAATATGCAAGGAATAGCACGAGAATCCAATTTCCCACGAGTGGGAGACAGATTTTGGAAAAAGCACCGACAATCAAATACGCGAGGAGGAATGGGAAGAAGGGGGGCCTTAGAGAAGAAAAGCTGAAGTGGGGCTTTGCACTCTAACCAACGAGAGGGCATACGGTTAATGAGGTGGGTAGAACAAAGGACAACCTCAAGCCAAAAACGTTTGGGGACATACATATGGAGTAATAAACCCTGGGCCACTTCAAGGAGATGGCGGTTCTTTCGTTCAACAACACCATTTTGTTGTGGTGTTCGGGCACAAGAGCTGCGGTGAAGTGAACCACGCGAAGCAAAGAATTCCGTGAGATCACTATGAAAATACTCTTTCGCATTATCTAACTGAAAATTTTGGATTTCCTTTTAAAATTGAGTGAAGACCATCTGCTGAAAATCTTGGATAATTTTTGATACTTCCTCCCTGGTTCGCATGGGATATACAAGTATATCTAGAATAATCATCAATGATGGTGATAGATTACTTGTAACCACTCTCAGATGGTAAAGTAACAGGGCCCCACACATCAAAATGAACAATGTGAAAAGGAAATTCAGATTTACTATTTTTTGGAAGAAAATGAGTTCTACAATGTTTACTCAATTGACACGTTTGACAAGAGAAATCTGAAACGGACACTGACTTAAACAGATCTGGAAACACCACTTTCAAAGACTAAAGATAAATGACCAAGGCGACAATGCCATAAATAAACTTGACTCTTACAGGACTGACTCTTAGACTCTGTAACATGAAGACCAGCCTTATTCTCCAACATGTAAAGTCCATCAACCATACGTCCTCTACCAAACGTCCTCCCCGAGGCCAGATCCTGGATCACACAGTAAGAAGGGAAAAATGTCACTGAGCAGTTTAAGGAATTAGTAACACTACTAACAGAAAACAAATTAATGGGAAATTTTGGAACATGTAAAACATCAGAGAGGGTAAGGCCAAGGGGAAGAGAGACGGTTCCTTGACCAGCTATGGAAGCATATGATCCATCAGCTAGTCTCACCTTGTCTCTTCCAGAAAGAAGGTGATAGGTCTGAAAGTAAGAGGACATACCAGTCATGTCTTTTGACGCTCCAGAATCAATGATCCATGGAGAGTCAAGGGTATAAGAAGCAACATGGAAAGCTGTGGCAGAGTTACCTGATGTAGACGCAAATGAGGTTGAGGGAGGAGCATCCATCTGACGAATTGCTCTAGCTCTAAATGGTCACAGAAGGAATTCATAATATCCTCCCTTGGGTCAAATCCAGATGAATGTGTCTGAGTCACAGTATGGATGGGGGGCTAATTCTCTCGAGTAGCCATGTTGGCCATAGTGTGTTTCTTTGTACCTTGCTGTTCTGACCTTTTATTCACATCTGAACTTTGCTTCTTATTCAAATCTTGAGCCCATTTCGGCTTTCCATGGAGATCCCAGCATGTATCTCGGGTGTGTTGGGGCTTCTGGCAATGAGTACACCACAATTTATCTTTGTCATCCATTTTTTTCTGAATTTCTCCTTGGAAGAATTTCCTCCACTAGTAGTAACACTCCCTTTCACGGCCGACACAACTGCATCTCCACCAGAACTATTCGTCAGATTCCTTTTGCTTTCTTCAGATTGTACAAGAGCATAAACTTCCTGGACTGATGGAAGATCCTTAGAACCGAGGATCTGGACCCTGATAGACTCGTATGTAGGGTTCAAACCATGTAAGAAAGCAAACACTCTCTGCTGGGAGACGAGTTTTTTGTACAGTTTTGCATCTTCATCACACTTCCATTCCACACTCTGATAATGATCCAACTCCTTCCAAACAGAAGTCAAGTCAGAGTAATATACAGATAAACACCTCTCCCCCTGTTTACAAGTAGACAATTCTGCCTGTAGTTGGTAAATTTTTGCATAGTGTTGCAGTTCCGAATATGTTGATTTTGCTTGTTCCCAGATCTCATTTGCCGTTTCAGCCCACATGAAATTCCTCCTTATTTGAGATTGCTTAGAGACTAGAAGCCAAGACATAACCATGTTGTTTTCCTGATTCCATCTATCATATTCAACACTCCCAGAATGTGGTTCTTTTATTCTCCCATTAATATAACCTATCTTCCCCCTTGCAGTGATATACAGCTTGATCCCTCTTGACCACTCTAAATAATTTAAACCATCAAGAGGGACAACAACCATGGGAAAGGATGGGTCAACACCCCCACTCATTCCATTCAGCATTGAGGAAACTCCAGATGTAGCAGAATYTTCACCACTCATGATTTTAGATTCAAAAACGACACCCAAAAGAGGAACACAACCTTAAAAAAGTTGTTACAGAAGGTACCAGCCACTTCCAGACCTTTAGTCCACCAAAAAACTGTTGTTGCAGCACATAAACAAGGTCCTTACGACCTACAGTTTCAACTTCCAGACCTTCAGTCCACCAAAAAGCTGTTGTTCACAGGGATCAAATGACCCCACAAAAAAGGAAAAGAAAGAGGTGCAGCTCACCTCACATCCAATCGGCAGACCTAGAACAGGTCCAGCATAGGCACACGACCAGAAAGGAGAAGAGTAAACAAAAGGTACTTTAGTCGATCATCAAGACAGTTGAACAGCAAATGAGAACAAAGTAAAAGAAGGTTACTTCAGTCGAACACCAGGGCAGCCGAACAGCAAATGAACAACAGATAACTTTTGAAAGTTTCAGTCGAACATCACGGCAAACGAACAGCAGATGAACCGCAGATGATAACTTCTGAAAGTTTGTCACCCTCGAAACAAAGTCTTTTACATGCTGGAAGAGGAAAAGACAGATTGCTCGACTTCACCCTTCAGACTTGGACGTCCTGCTCTGATACCATGTTGTACAGGAAGAAGAGAGAAAGGGAGAAAGGAGAAGAGAGACAAGAGAACTGAGAGTCCCAAGAGATACTGCAGGCGGCGCAGAATGTTATATTTATACTAGGGAGACAACAACTAAACATAAAGAAAAGGAAAAGTACAATAGTACCCCTGCGGTACTATACATATATAAAATAACATCTGTTAACAGTTCTTAATGCAAGTCTACAGACAAAAATTGAAGACTAAGGTTTATACAAACCAATAACTAGGGATGTCAGTAGGTTGGATTAAGCAGTAAATCCAAGGATCAAAATATCGATAAGCCCAATGCCAAAAAATGGGTATTGGTGTGTATCAACAAGACTGATACTCTTGCTTTTTTTATTTTTTACTTTTTTTAATTTATCAGCATGAGAGGAATGCCTTCTACCATACCAAACTTTCAAAAACCCCTAATCCTGTGTATCGGTGCATCCATGAATCTTCATGACCACCAACACGGATATGATACATCAAATATAAGGGGTATAGTATCAATATTTTGATCCTTGGGTAAATCCACCTTGACCCAACCTTATTGGATCAGGTTCAGATTTTCCTTAATCGGGCTTCAGGTCATGTTCAGGACCAGAGACACCCCGTTCGCATAGTGGCATTGAAAGAAAAATGTATATATATACATATCATTCATAGGTCAGGGTGGGTCAAGTTTGGAATGCTATTCCAATTAGTCAGGTCAGGCTGGGCCAGGTGACTCCAGGTCCCATTGACATCCCTAACCATGTCCGTAACAGAAATGGTTATCAGCCCCGTTACTGCTCACTGCAGTCAATAACCAACTCTACTAGACTTCTGACAATGTACTGCATTCATACATGATGCATCCTATATTCTCCATTTTATATTCATTGCTATCACTGCTGGATAATGCAGTACCAACTCTACTAGACTTCTGACAATAACCACCCCTCCAAGAACATTGCAGGGTTGCCCAAACCATACTCAGTGAGTTCTGATTACTCCAACGAATTTATCTTGGTCTTTTGACTAAGAAAAAAATGAGCAAGTCAATGCTAGATGTGTGATCAGTCCAGGAGTAAGATATGATACAGTTTCTTCAGAAAAGGAGACAAAAAAGAAGAAACTGAGAGAATAAATTGAAGAAGATCAAATCTATGACAGAAAATGCTCTATACCATGTTATCTCTCATAGAGAATTAAGGAAATTACATTACTAAATTGTAACATTACATAGAATAAAGTCCCCCACAGTTCTTTTATTCAGAGTGTGCTAAAAATATAAAATTACATTGCTGCACCTGCACCCAATAACTAAAAATTACAACAGCTATCATAGACTTTCTCATGTTCAAGCTATTACTTATGGGTATGCCTAGAATGCCCACAGACTCGTTGCTTGTTTCTGTGAAAACCTATTTAAAGCTGAAAATTTAAATTACTAAGACATATCTATTTGATTGTCAAACTGAAAATTCAAAAATAATAATAACAAGTATTGTTAAAATGGCTGCTAGATCAGTTTCCCTGGCACTATATATGACCAAAAAGAACCATATATCAGAACCGGAGTTACAACCTTAAAGGAAGTTCTTTTCTGAATAGTAGGTCCACAGTAGCACCCATCCCATTCCATATTGAAGCAAATTCAGCAGCAATGTACCTACATAAGAAGATAGATCAGGCCAATATCACTCATTTCCGGGTTATATACAGAAAGAATGAATGAAAAGATAAGAGATGAGTTAGCAGCCACATACCCTCCCCCCAGTATCACGGCTCGCTTTGGTAACTCATCCAAGCTCAAAGCTTCATCAGAAGTAATGGCCAATTCCTAAAATTCATATTATCCATTTGATTAATTCCAAGACAAATAAGGACTACTTCCAAGCCAAGTATCACATCTAAACATAGTTTAAAATTTCAACATACTTCCAAACATTTCCACAACATATTTCTGTTTCCATGCAAAACATGGTATTATAACATGATGAGCTAGCATCAATATTGTACATATGTGTGGTAGCAGTATTATTGTCTGCCTAATGGAAACGATTTAAGTGCTCATAATTTATTGTCCACCTAATGGCAACAATAATTGTATATATGAGTTGGTAATAATATTGTATATATGTGTGGTAGCAGTATTATTGTCGAAGTAGTACATGTAGAAACATTGGGCTGGGTGGGCCTTAGTTTAGTTCAGTTTTATGTTTATTATTTTTTGTGTTAATGGGTCTTTTAACCTTTTTCTTTAAGTTTATAAGCAGCCACCCTACACAAGGGTATTTATTTACGGTCAACTCTTCTCCTTCCTCTTCTCTCTTCTCTTGCTTTCTTGCTCCCATACTGTTTCTTTTTCCTTTCTTCCTTTTCCTGATTAAACAAAAGAATCAGTTGCTGGATAGTTTTCTTCTTGGTATCAGAGCAGTTGTACTGCTCTTTTTCTTTTCTTTTTAATCCCATACACAGTTTTATGGAGATCTGAATGGTTGATTTTTTTTATCAAAATCTGAATGGTTGATTGATTGAAGAAGATAATCAGCTCAGTTGGTAGAGGATTTCAGGAGAAAAGAGGCAATCAGATTAGTGACCAGGACAATTTTTGAAGTTTTTTGCCGGAAACCCTAACTAACTGGAGATTTTGAATTAAGGATCCCAGAGGGGGTTCCAACCTAGCACTCAATGTTTGAAGGGGTTCTTTTTTATCCTTATAGAGATTGATCCAAGGGACGGTTGGAATTTTCTATTTTCTCCCGGGTTGTTGGGTAAGATGCAATCATGGTTTGGGGGTCCTGTTAATGACAATGTTGTTATCTTTTTCAGTCATTCTTATTTTCTATATGAAAATTGTTCCTTGATGTTTTAGAAGTAATGGAGCACTCTGAAGTCGAGATCAAGCAAAGCTCAACATCCAAATAGGTTCCAAGAGCTTCTGTAGATCCTCTACTAGTCGTGATCATAGTAAAGCTTGATGGAACCAATTATTTGAATTGGTCACAATCAGTGAGAATATATGTTTGTAGTAGAGGAAAGTGGGGATATATCTCCAGTAGTAAGAAACAACCTTAGGAAGATGATCCCTCCCATGAGAAGTGGATGCAAGAAAATTATATTATTATCGGTTGGTTGGTGAACTTAAAGTAGCCTCATATCAGCCAACATTACTTGTGGGTAAACTCTACAAAGGAGATTTGGGATAGTGTTATAGAGACGTACTCCCAAAAATTGAATGTGGCTAGGGCATATAAGCTGAAAAATGATGTGAATAATTTACAACAGCGGGAGAGACCATTAGCAGTTTATTATTCAATGCTGAAATCTATGTGATAGGAGATTGATTTGATGGAGGTAATTGTTTGGAAGAGTACTGAGGAAAGCAAAAGGCAAGTTCAAGTTCAAGGAGCAGTTCCAATTGACCACTTTGCTAATGTAAGGTGAAACCTAAGGCAGTTAAGGAAAGATGTTATATGTGAGATTGCGAGTATTGCAAAAAGCCAAAACATATGAAGGATACTTGCTGGAAGTTACACCCACACCTTTTTCCAGCTTGGTTTAGGAATGCTAATAACGGTAAGAAAGTTGGAAATGGAAAGACTAGAAATACCAATGCAGCCATGATTCCAAACAGTGACAAGGGTTCTAATGCGAAGGCTACTATTGAGCAGATGGCAGTAGTGAAGGCAGAATTTGAGAAGTTTGGGAGGATAATTAATCACTTGAGAGCATAATTGCAGCAGCTTCTAATCCATTAGGCAACTTAACTTCCACTGCTTTTTCACATTCAGGTATATGTGCTACTACCAACCATGCAACTACCTTATGTAATTGTAGAATCCCCTTGGATTATAGAATTAGGAGCTTTTGATCACATGACTAGCATTTCTACTTCGTTTAATTCCTATAACTTGTTTTCTGGTCATTATAAAATAGCCCTAGCCAATGGCTCTCTTGCTCCTATTTCTAGCAAGGGAAACATCAAGACCATAGATTCCCTCACCTTCACTTTTGTCCTTCATGTGCCTAAACTCCACACCAACCTTTTGTTTGTAAGTAGCTTGACCAAAAGGCCYACAAATGTATATTTCTTGGATATGCCTCGACAAAGGATTACTATTGCTTTGATCTAGCCAGTAGAACCTGTTTTGTCTCCATGGATGCCACTTTTTCTAAGTATTTTCCCTTTTATGGTCCTCCTAAGGGGGAGAGTTCGTCTGAGTTATTTGATCTTCCTCTTCCTATTCCTATTGAGCCTAATGGTGAACCTCCTATTGAGTCATCTCCTAGTTCCTTTGTTTCAATTCCTCCACCACTACCTCCACATCCTCCTTCATTTGTGATTCCTCTTGTCCTTTAGAGGTGGTACCAGCGGCGAAGGTTCAAGATGAGTAGGTTGTTTCCACTTCTGCAGTTGAGCCTCCTACATTTCTGGTTGTTGAAGAGACAGCAGGTTTTGAGACCATACCTTTGCAGCCCCCCTTCCCTGTTCCAGGGCCATAAGATATGCTAGTCTTTGTGGGAAGAAAGAAATTCTAGAATCTTCTCTGATGTAGAGAGAGGTGATGAAGAGTTGAGGGCCCTGATCCACATAAGTGTTATTCAGTGGATGAAGTCCCTGGAGCTGTTCACAGAATATACAGTAGATGACTTGCTGAGGAAGTGGGGTGAGATTGCTAGCTATACCCAGATTAAAGCAGGGATGAGTGTGTCTTGGACTCCCCCACCTATGGGTTTCATGAAACTAAACTTTGATGGAAGTAGCAAAGGGAACCCCGGACAACCAGGGATTGGGGGTGTCTTCAGGGATAAGAATGGGGTTGTTTCTGCTATGTTTTCAGGCCCAATTGGAGTGAGTGACTCTCTCAGAGCTGAGATCCACGCAGTTTTGGAAGGTGTCCAGAAAGCTAGGGAGATGAAAATCAAAAAACACATAATGAAGGGGACTCGGAGGTGGTGGTTGGGTGGCTGAACAAAGAAGATAGCAATTTATGGAGTTATAGTAATTTGAAGAGAAAATTCAGATGGCTGGTTCGAGGAATGGAAGTTAAAATTAGTTGGGTAAAAGGATCAGCTAATTCTTTTTGCTGATGGGCTAGGGATGTCATATTCTGGGCAAAGATGTAATTTAACTTTCTTCTTTTTCTGTTCTTTCTTTCTCTCTTGTTTCCTCTCTTGGGGCTCTTGATGTAACTGGAAGATAAGAAAGTTTGTCTTCCTCTCTGTAATTTATTGTGATAATTAATGAATTGTGTTATTGATCAAAAAAAAAAAAAACCTATCAAACCAAGCCCTCCACAATTGCTGAAGGCCATAGGGTGATTTTTTTAGTTTACATACCTTACCTTACATTTCTTTCCCATACATCCCAGGAGGAAGAGACATATACACTTCTTCATATTCAAAAAGGAATTCTTTACATCAAACTGATTGTGGTCAATCAGAATTAACTACTAAAGATAGCTAAGAAAGAGAGAGAAGAGAGATAGAAGAGAATGGGAGAAGCTCAGAATTGGGTCTGGCCGCCCCTTTCATTAGATTATATACTCATAAATAAAAGATAGTACAAAGACAAGTATGCCCTTATTAAGTTGGCTACTTGTGAGAACATAAAGAACTCTTAACTTAAAATATAAACTAAGGGGCCTAAGGCCCAATAACTCCCTAACTATACTATGTAAATAAAAACAAGTTATATCAGCCCAAAACTCAACAGATATCATTGACCTTCCCTGCAAACAAAACTTTTGGAACTCCTAAGACACCACAAAGCACTTCGTCGTCCAAGGATTTTTGACTTTCTTCTTCATCCCTCTGTGTTTCTTCTCACTTACCCTGTTCCTCCTTCGGAAGTCCGTTCACATTTTGGGAAAATCATCTTCTGTGCGTGAACTCCTCCAATGTTTCTGAGATTCTATGCCACCCCATTTTCCTCCTCCCTTCTGGAATACACACAATCTACCTCCTTCCTTCCCCTAGTCTTTCAGTGAGTATGACAAAAGCATGGTTTAAAATGTCGCGAAATGTCGGAAATATCGCCCGACATATGTCGGTGTCGAGACCTAGCGACATAAATTTTACATGAATTAAAAAAAAAAATACAATATGTCGGTCGATATTTCGACCATTTTGGTAAATGTCGACAATATCGTTCCAAAAAACAAAAAAAATATATATATAATATATCGAAATATTTCCAAGTATATGTCGACAGCATATATTTGAACTACAAACATCTCATATCAAACAAAAAGAGACGTTAAACAGGAAAAAGAAGAGGGTTTTTTGATAAAAAAAGAAGAGAGTTTTACGTTTTAGCTTGTGTACCTGGAGCTGGAGTACAACTTCAGGATCTAACCAAGCACAAGAGTGGTCATGCGCTGAAATATCTTTTTCTTGGAAGCAGGACGTTCAGCTTATGAAACTTTGAAGAAATTTCTCTCATCTTAATTCAGATATGCAATAACCCTATTTCTCTCTCACGGTGAATAACCATGAAAAACCTAGGAAAAAAGAAGAGAGAGAGAGACAGAGAGAGAGAGGGCAGTGGAAGGTGTGAACTCAAGGTCGAGAAGGAGAATGCTCTTCGTCATCTTCTATTTTTTTCTTGAAGGGCTTCATTGAGTGCTGGTTTACTGCTCACTGGTTGCAGACACATTCTGCGTCTCTTCGACATTTGAGGAAGCTGAAGTTCATCCGAATGAAATTGAAACCTCAGCCTTAATTTATTTAAACTTTAAAGACTTGTTATAGTCCATTATGATCTATGGAAGCCTATAGACCATCACAATAGCAAAACCTAAAATGGAATCTTTAAAACACCATTATATAAACATG